TTACGAGCACTTGCCGTGCTTTTCGGAGTACACCCCCTAGTCTGTGAGTTCGGATCTCAAAAATTTCAACAAAAATAACAACCACATAAATAGAGAACCAGGAAGACCTTCTTTGTTCGATCAGAAAACAGTTACAATTGCACGGATGTTTATTGATTACTGTTCCCAACAAAAGTTGGCAATGACTCTCTCTTCCTTCGACAACAGAAATAAACAACCGCAAATTCAACAAAGAAAAAGTGAGAAAGTTGGTGCTTCTACTTTTTAACTTAAAAACCGTTTAAGGAAAACCAGATGATTATAGGGAGAATCACAATCAATCCTTGTGATATTGTCAATAACTATCTGGAAATGTCCCAATTCAATGGCACCGACATCCGACTGGTATTTAACATTGATCAAATTGGTTTCCAGGATTTTTGTGATAGAAATGTGGTCAAGATCCTTGTTCCCGCTGACGTCGACGAGAAAAACATCAAAATAGGAGTTGGAAGATCGGGGAAACGTTCGACAATAATTTGCATGATATGCCTTGATGGTTCAGTCGTATGCCCTGGAATTGTCGCTAATAAGACTGTTGATACTAAGCTTCTTTCCAAATACACAAACGTTTCATTTTATACAAGCAGCACCGGCTTTGTCACAAAGGATATTTTTTGGAGTGGATGACCACAATTGTTATTCCTTTTATAGAGTGCAAGAGGCTACTGTCAAAACTTCCCGCAACGGCACCTTCATTGATAACAATTGATGGATTTGGTGGGGACAATTTTGAGGAATTGAAGAGTCTTCTTTTGATATATCACATTCATCTTCACGAGTACACGGCGCACTGCTCTCACTTGGTGCAGCCTCTTGATTTGTGTTTGTTTAGTTCGTGGAAGAAAAGTGGCCAGATTGCGACTTCTTTCTTCAAAACTGCCGTAAGTGTCTCTGAGCTTCCTCGTATACAGCATCCCAATTCTGTGTTGGATAACGGACAAGTTGGCGAAAGTACGGCGGCGCAGATGGGTAGAAGTAGCACACTTGACGTAACAGGAGCGATGAAAGAGTTGGTTAGTGCAATTTCTGCGGACAATAATATTTCAAATGACGCCACCAAAGACTCAAACACAAGAGCAGCTTCTGGCCAACTCCTCAAAAACTCGTTATATAAGATTCTCAACTCTTTGGATACCTCCGCATCACACGAAGTTGTAATCACATCTTTTCGCCGAACAGGTATGGTTTCAAGATTGACCAACAACAGATTTGTTTTTTATGTTGACATCAAATCTGCCAGTCGTCTTGTTGAAGAGTTTCATACGTTTTAAAGCCAATGTGTTTTCAAATGTGGCAATAATGAGAAGACTCTCTGCTCCACAAAATGAAATTGAGACTGTTTCAATATCTGATTTAGAAAGAGAGAGAAAAAGAGCACCAGAAACTTCAGTTTTGGTCAGTCATATCAACCATTTAGACCAACAAATCGAGTTTTCGGGAAACTTGGAGCAACCCATTTCCATTTTAAAAATTCAAATTGCCTGTATTTGTGACAACTTCCAGATTTTATACCATGGAGATCACCAAGTCTATGGCAGTCCTGTTAACGCGCTTCAACAGAGTCTCGTACCTTTCACACTCACAATTGGCGAATTGGAGGATATTCAGAACTGAACCATTCGAAAAGACATTTCATAATTGAGTTCAGTTCCATTTTTGTTTTTGGAAAAAATAAAACGCTGTTTTTAGTCTTTGTCAAGTAATTTCTAATTATAAAAATTGAATGAGTGGTAATTCCCGGAAAAATAAACCCAAAACAGCTAACCAAAAATCGTTGTTTTGGCGTTTTGGCCAATCATCTTTCTGTCAATCAATTTTTTATTTGTCAAGTAATTATTCTGCCTCCTATAATTATAGTGTGTGACGCTTCATTTAAACAATGTTCCCATTCATTATCACTATCCATTAACCCACGTGCTTTACAAACATCTTCAAATGTTTCATATTGTTTATCTTCAAAACATTTAATTTCTTTATAACTTCTTGCTCCTTTCACATGAAGTAATAATAAACGTAAACAAAAACGTTCCCTGTCTTTTTGTGACACACTGTATAATCTTACAACTGTGTTAAGCTGTCTTTTTTACGTTTTTTCCACTCTCCTTTTGTCCAAGTATAATACAGAGGTATTTCAGTATACAAAAATAAATTTGCTTCTTTTTCGATCGTGTTAAGGTGAAACCAAGCTTTAAGTTTGGTCATCTTTTTTGTATTGATATCAATAATATCATCTTCTTCGAAAGTAACTGGTTCGGTTCCCGGACAATAAACAGGAAGTCTAATGATCGTATGAGACCTATAATG